AACAAAGAAAAATTGAATTCACATCATTTTTTTTCCCCAGACATCTGGCTGCAAATGTATTTTAAATTGAGAAAGGCTGACTTCTGGTGCTAAAGGATGAAAAGGAAAAGGGATCAATTAGAATAGGAACTCTTTCCAGGCTGAATCAGAAACTAAGCTGGTAAAGAGTTTAGTGCCTCCATCGAGCGTGGGGGTAGCGAGAGGGGAGCTGGAGATCTGAGGAGAGGTTAGCCCTTGTGCAAAGAGGACTCTCAGATAAACCTCAACATTATTTCCGAACTATCAGACCACGATGGATGGATTTTATTAGCCTAGAGTTTCATTGCCTAAGCTTCAAAACTGAACTAAGATTTTCTTCCCTTTGTTGCCCAAATTTTCAACACTTGCAGCATCATTTTGATCATTTAACTTCAGCTGCAAATAGCATAATCTGTGGAGCCCTGATCTCTGGTCTGGTTCTTTTGGGTCCTAGTGTCAAGCTCCTATCCATAAGAGGAGTCACAACTGGGAACTACCAGCCCAGTGCCCTGTACCCTGGTGCCCCAAGTGACCACACTTGAGCCTCCCAGGGAGAACAAAGACTGCTCCTGTCAGGACTCTCCAGTGCTGAGGGGACCCAGAGTCTGGGGGCAGCTGGACCTGGAGATCACACTGTTGACAATTCTTCAGTAACTCCCTGTCTGGAGAAGCACCCCAGGCATCAATTGTGCAGACACCCCGTGTGAGCCCGCCTGACCAGCTGGACTGTCACAACCCTAAGAAGAGAGGAGGCAGGGGCAGCAAAGCCCGTATACCACACGATGCCACCTCTCCCGTCTTCTGTGGCAGGACACTAAGGGCCACTCACACCTGCCGGAAAACTAAGAGCTACTAAGAACTGAGCCTGCCCTCTTTCTCTACCTCCATCTCTCCACCTCTCTACCTACCTCTCTCTCTCTTTCTCCATGTCCATCTCCCTATTCCCTGCCTCTTCCGTGCAGCTTTTCTGTTCTGACTTAACCACCTTCCCTTGCTTACTCATAACCTTACCTTGCACAGGGCCAAGAGAGACTCTCAGGACCCAACTCTAATTTACCTTGAGTGCCCACACTCCTACATAACTCAGTCTTTCAGAATCCCCTAGTTCAAACAGGAAATAATGATCAACTCTATTTGGGAGAAGCCCTTCATGCCAGCTGTCTCTGAGGCCACTGGCCAGTCCTGAACAGGCTGCTCTCATCTGTTCCTGTCAGTTGATGCTACGAGTGTGCAAGGTCACAGAAAATAAAACCGGTCTCCTCCAGCAGTGGAGGCTGAGGGCAGAGCAGCAGTGTACACGTGACCACCATGTGCCGAGAACCTGTTAAGTGCCAGCATTGCACGATTGTTACATCTAAAATAAAATTTTTTATTTAAAAATAAAATTCTTCTTTAGTCCTTATGATAATCCTAGTAGGCAGGTAATACTTTCATCTCATTACAAGGTAGGAAAAATTTCAGAAAGATTAAGTAACTTAACTTGCCCACGTTACCCAGCTGGTAGCTGATGATGCTGGAAAACCACCTCAAGGAATCCGACTCCCTGTCCCACGTGACTCACTCTGCTGACCTGCTCGTCACTTACAAACCACCCTCAACCTTCCTCACCCAACCCGGTGAGCCTGGATGATGAGTCCAGCTTCCCTCTCAAGCACTGATACTGGTAATTTATGAAAGCAGAGTTTGCTGACCAAAAGGCAAGCAATTAAAAACACACATAAAGCACAGAAACAACAGTGATCAGGCACTTTCTGAGCAGCCTGCACAGGGCAAGCACTACTATGGGTGTTGATGGGACACAAAACTCAACTCATTCTCTCCCCCACGAAGCTCACACTGAGCATGGAAAACAGGCCAACAGCTGTACAGCGAGGCCGAGGGAAAAATGCTGTCAGAGAGACGCACATAACGTGCCAAAGGAATGGAGGAGCGAGCAAATGCTCTGACTGGAAGGAACGGAGGGAGGTTTCCAGGAGAGGAGAGTGAGGTGGACCTGAAGCTCACGTGGGCTTCCTGTCTGCAAGAGCACAGCCTGGACACCCAACAGGGGCAGGAAGACACCTCAAGTGTGCGGAGATCCAGCGGCTGGAGGGTAGAGTCTTAGAAGACGAAGCCGGAAAAATAATTACATGCCAGGTGAAGCAGTCTAGGCCTTAGTCCACAGACAGGGGAGGTTATTGATGTGTTTTGAGCAGATGAATAAGCTGACCAGAACTTTCTATGAGTCCATGATCTGTGTTTTGAAACGGAGATACTAGCTTGAAGAGAGAAGAAAGCAGGAGCAGAGAAAAACCCCTGGGCTGCCACTCCAGTAAGACAGGTCAGAGACAGCTGAGGGTTTGGACTGTGGTGGAAGCTGGGATTGGAGAGGAGCAGACTGGAGACATCCTGGAAGGAGGAGCAGTCATTTAAAAACACTCTGGATATCTGTGTGGAGGGCTGGGAATCAACCATGACATGGGGCCTCATTCTCTGGAGTCCTGCACGGTGTCGGGCACAGAAGAGGGGCCCAGTCTACAGTTACCGCCAGGCTTGGGGATGATAAACGTCGTTACATACACCTTCCCCTTACTGAATAAACACAAAGTGTTAATTATGACAAGGATAATAAATCTCACTGGCTCTTCTACCATCAAACCACAAAATAAGTGCACCCTTTGGTTGCCTCACATCTGCAGGGCCACTCAGCAGCATACCAGTCCCCAAGAGTAAACCCTGTAAGATAAACCTTATTTCGTAAGGAACTAGGATTCCCTGCAGCCACAGAAGTTAAAACAACACTGAAACCCTCACTGAGATTTAACTGCCTAACCTGCTTTTGTCTTTGTGAGAGTACATACCAGGCATCCAGAGAAGAACAGTTTCTATAGGAACCTGAGCCGCCCACTGGCTGGTCCGACCGTAAGCACCATGGACACTGTTCAGATCTCCTCGGGTCAGGACCACCCCTCAGTGCTGGGAGTTCTGTGGTTTTCTGCTTCCTAGACAGGGAGGCCCTTAACCACCCAACCTCACTAAAAGATTGAACAAACCACCAATAATCGCATGTTATTCTCCAAACATGCATATTTTAATTTACAATTCAAACAGAATTTGCCAAAGAACCAGACTGTCAGCCCAGAGTTAAAAAAAAAAAACACAATAATTTAAAACACACAGCCCTGCACTTAGGGCTGTATCATGAAAGGCATAAGGTACACATACAGTGGTTTCCAGTGTAGAAGAACAGGTGCAGGCCAGGTTACCTGCCTGGGCTCAGCTTCTTTACCTCAGTGTCAGATACCTGGAATTCTACAATTAGACATTTATTTCTTTGAAGTAAGCCTTGTCCTCTTCTTGCAGGTCTTTTTAAAAAAGCATTCCATTTTTATATTTTATGAACCAGGCTCTCAGAACTACAAGATGAGTAAATCACTGACCCTGCCTTTGAAAAGTTTACAGTCTGCTTGAAGAAAATAAACAAGGAAAACAGAAATAAAAAATAAGATAAATATTTAAAAAGGCCATAGAATTCCTCCACAGGCAGTGGGAGCTTGGAAAGGAACACTCATTCTCAGACTGAGGCTGGACTGTGACGTTTTCACAGAGGCGGCCCTCACAACGAGCACTGAAAGCTGACAGGGTCTGCAGCGTGAGCAGGAGGGCCCTAGGCTGGCACTCCAGGCAGGAGAGACGTGGAACAGCAGCAAGGGGCATGGAGACCCACGGGCAGACCCACCTGGCTGCAGAAGGCAACACTGGCCCAGATTAGGAGCAAGAGTTCAGCTGTGGAGAGTCTTAAGAGCCACACTAAAGGCTTTTCTCAAACAGAGAGCAGGTCACTTGAGCCATATAAATAGCATGGAAAGGGTCTACGTGACGGACTAGACTGTTTATCACAGAGACCTTACAGCGAGAGAGAAGGGCCCACGCCACTTTCTTACAGGGTAGCTGGGCTACCAGCAAGCGGAGCTCTCCAGCTCTTTGGGCTTATCCAGTACCCAGTACCCACTCCCCACCGACACGACTCAGGCCCCTGGCCGAACCACTGCCCTCCACAACTCTGCACCAGCTCTCTAGCTCTACCCTCCCAAACCATTCAGGCTGCTCCAAGTTTATTCACTTCTGTCTCCTTCTGGCCTCCACCCATCTGGACTATTCCACACTTTCTACCTCTCCGTGGCCTACTTCCAAGACTCAGCTCCAGTCCAAGAGGTGACACAGAGCACGTGAACACCACATGAGCTTGAGGCCTTCCCCCTCACCTCTGAACAGTCTATGGAAAGTGTGACCTGAATATTCTATTCTGCAACTATCCGCATGCTGATTTACCACATCTATTATTGTCCTGAACTTCTTCTCCAATCACAAGACTGATGGAGAGGACAAATGTTTCATTATTGCACACACCAGTAGAATCAGAAAAGAAAGGAAACTGGACACCCAATTTTTGTTCTTTGCAAGTGCAAAGTTGGAGAACAGGACACAGGAGCAGTGAGTTCTGTTCCCTGTCAGGGTTAATATCACGTGCCCTAAATTTAATAAAGATACAGACATAGCCCTTGTAGGGCCAAAACCAAGTTATCCCACCCCACCCTCAAAATCTGGAGGATCTGGCATAGTAAATTTATCTGAATTGTCCCAGCTAATTGAGCACAACAGGGTTATTAATCTCACATCATGTTTCATCTGCACTGCCATGTTTTAAATAACAGATTATGCTTACACTAGCATTTTACAGATGAAACATATTCTTGCAATGCATTCATTTTTCATACATTCTTTCCCTGGACCCACACAGGCAGTATTCTTCCTACATTACATGTACGAGACCGGGGCCTCACCCAAGGTAACACAGCCACATGATTCAGAGTCAGAAATAAATCAAGTTTACTGGATTTCAGGCTGATGCTGTATCAGCAGAATTATGAACAAATATTATTTCTAAATACATCCCCGGGCCGGCCCCGTGGCTTAGCAGTTAAGTGCACGCGCTCCGCTACTGGCAGCCTGGGTTCGGATCCTGGGCGCGCACCAGCGCACTGCTTCTCTGGCCATGCTGAGGCCGCATCCCACATACAGCAAGTAGAAGGATGTGCAACTATGACATACAACTATCTACTGGGGCTTTGGGTGGGGGGGGAGGATTGGCAATAGATGTTAGCTCAGAGCCGGTCTTCCTCAGCAAAAAGAGGAGGATTAGCACGGATGTTAGCTCAGGGCTGATCTTCCTCACAAAAAATAAATAAAATTAAATTAAAATAGAATAGAATAGAATAGAATAAAATAAAATAAAATACATTCCCAAAGTTACACTCAACAACTGAACTAGGAACCTCACTCTATGTCATTAATACACTAAGATTTCATGGTAGATTCTTACTCCTGTTTCTCAGAGAGAAAATTTTTACATTCTCTATGATGGTTCTGAGATTCAGGGTAAAGAAACCACACAAAGGTGAAGCTATATATGAGATGGCTATGCACCGTTAGTAAGCTTTACATTCAATTTACTCCAAAACTAATGTGAGCAGTGCTGACTCCCGGCCTTACTGAACAACATCTCTAAACTCTTAACAATACATTCAAGGGATGGCCACCACCGTCCACTTAATAGAAAGGTTTTTTTTTTAGGTGTGTGTGCTATGTGACTGTTTCCGCTTGTTTTACAGAGACAAATCAATGTGGTAACAAACGTGTAGACATCACATTTGCCATTTTGTAAATCCAGTAAACTATTCACTTCCCCAGTAGAGGTCTAAAAAGTCTAGGATGGTTTTAAGTAGTAAACCTCTGTAGTAGCAACACCCATCTGACAGAGCAGGTCCAAAGTGAATGAAGCACACAAACTTGGATCTAGCACATTCCGCACACGTCCAGTCGGGGCTGCAGCTCAGACGGTGATGCACCGCATGTACGACGGTGATCCCGTAAGATTAGTACCATAGAGCCTAGGTGTGTACTGAGCTACTCCACCTAGCTCTTCGTAAGTACACTCAATAATGTTCGCACAACGATGAAAGCACCTAACGACGTATTTCTCTGAACATGTCCCCGTTTTTATGCATAAGACTGTATACTTATTATGTAATATATGGTGTATCGGTTTCTCCACTCCTAGGAAGATGCAGAGATTTTAAAAATCTATACTTTTGCAAAATATTCCAACTCTTAAAAGTCAAAACCAAGAAAGAAAACTCTTTCAATATTAAGGACACAGATGTATTTTAGATATGTCCTTCAAACTTAAGACAACTAAATTGAGAAGGAAAAAAAAATCAAAATACTCAGACCCCACGGTTCTCAATTGTTCTCTGAGGTGCTCCAAGCCCCTGCAGCAACCGCGCAGAGATGAAGTGAACCACCAGCTTGTGGCGGGTCAGTTACAACACGAGATCATGCTACGTGCCTTTCAACAATGTCCTATCTTGCAAAGCTGGCTTCTCAGTGGCTGCTGTGATCAAGAGTACTGTGCAAAAATCAGCAAGGAACAGAAAGAGGATGGCATTGTTCAATGTATTCCAAGGTTTGATAAGCTGTGCAGTGCCCAACAGCTGCATTCATCCTATTAGTAATTAACTCTAGCTATTTGAGAATGAAGTATATTTTTTCTTTCAAAGTATGTATAATATTTTTTCAAACAGCTACTATGTTATTAGGACAGAAATACTTTTTAAGTTGTTTGAACATTACTATCACTTAATAAATGGAACTATTAGATACTTATTTTGACCTAGGGTGGCTATAAAAACATTACTAATGGAGCTGTGAAAGGAGAAAGTCTGGGAACCTCTGTATCAAATTCACACCAAAGCCTGACTAGAGAAGACAAAAAAAGTAAAAATCTTTCCAAATGTTTCCTATTCAATGGTAAATACTTAACAGTTTCTCTTCAAGCAAAAATCTGACAGAAAACAGGCTAGGACAGCAGCATAAATGTTCAATTATTTAAGAAAAATACTCTAAGATGTCTCATTTATTTAAAAATCTCCGGGTACTTACTATCAACTCCTGGGAGATGTCAACTACGCGCCACATGGCTTATCCGAAGGAAAGCACCGCTCCAATGCTTGAACCTGAGTGACAGGGACACGGAAGGGTGCTGGCTGCCCGAATCCACTTCTGCGTTTGCTTGAAATTTTTAAGGAGACTGTTGAACACACAATGGTCATGGTTTCTAAAATTCTTGGTACTTTTTCCCCCACAATAAAACAAACTCTGTAAATAAGTAGTTCAGTTCATTACAACCTCACCACCCAACACCGTCACAGAAGTTGCTTTCCAAAAGAATCTGGAATTTTCTGGAATTCAGCTAAATACTTCTTTAGTCCTTTGGAACTTGCTTCTTATTTAGAGCAAATATCAATCATCCTGATGCAATCAAGTCAAGGCATCATGACAAAAGGCTCTCACGTTCTTCACTATCTAATGTAGCCATATTAAGTAGGAATTGTTAAAGTAGTTTCCTCCATGGTGTTAATTTTTTAAAAAAGGAAGATGTGTTGGCAGGCTACATATCGTGTAAAGGAAGAGTAATACAAAACTGCATAAAGAATAGCAGTCTGAAATATGAAAAAAGCATTTAATTAGAATTTGACACAGTATTTGGCTAACAGGTTACAGCGGGATTCCTTGCTGCCTTTCTTAGTATCTAACATATACACAGCTTATGAGAATTCACTAACAATCTATTAAAAAAATTAGCTATGGGGGCCGGCCTGGTGGCATAAGCAGTTAAGTGCGCGTCCTCCGCTGCAGCGGCCCGGGGTTCACCGGTTCGGATCCCAGTTGCGCACCGACGCACTGCTCGTCGAGCCATGCTGTGGTGGCGTCCCATATAAAGTAGAGGAAGATGGGCAGGGATGTTAGCTCAGGGCCAGTCTTCCTCAGAAAAAAGAGAAGGATTGGCATCAGATGTCAGCTCCGGGCTGATCTTCCTCACAAAAAAAAAAAAAAAAATTAGCTATGTTGTGAAATATAGCTTTTGATCAAAGTAGTATTTTTTTAAAGAAAGGTAGAACGACAGATTTCTGAGAGTTCAAGATAAAAACTTGAATATTTTTGTTTTGTTTTAAAACAGTAAAAAATTTTCAAAATACGGTCTTCTCAGATAGCCGAAGCCAGACCAGGTGCTGATCTGAAAGGAAACATAGCAGAGCAATGAAGCCACCAGAAAGTAATTCTAAATTCAGTTTCTAAACGTACTTATTTCCGTTAATCTTCATGTTGGTAACTCACTAACACAAACATTTACTTTGATGGGTTTAATCAACTCGGATAACATAGTTCCAAACAATGTAAAGAATCGAACTTTTGTATCAAATTAATAAAGGTCATTTATGTTTTAAAGTGAGAACAGATTTGATCAAATATAAATATGTAAGAAGTCAAGTAAGTGTGTGTGTGTTCATAATTTTAGAGTGTGTGTGACTTTAATTTTGGAAACACACACACACCCCTTTGGCTAATCATTTAAATAAAAAGCTACCCAACATTTTATGTCCACTATGACCACCGTTTACACCGGGCAAAACACCGACGCCCCCCTATACACACAGGAGAAATGGCTTCAGTTTATTATCCAGAAACCTGACAGTACATGCAATTCCTTCTTCTCACATCCTGGCAGGTCCGTCCTCCTTGCTCCCGCTTCTGACTTTCTCACCAACACTGAGGCTATACAACAAACTATGAAAGTCATCATCTCTTTTATGAAGTATACTGAAGACAAAAGGCATTCAAGTCATCTCACATTAATTAAGCAAAGCTGTTTTATACCAACATTATCACAACACACAACAGATGCTTCAGTAGAACATGAACAATTAGTGATTTCACAACTACACTACTTATTCCAATTAACAAAATATCTTTATAAGTTTGTTCAAAAGGTTACATTCACGTCTTCAATTGATATCACGTGGTTGTAACAATGGTCCTAGTAGATTCAAAGACAGAAAATCACTTACCTCACACGTGTCTCCTCTCCAAAGGCATAGACCCACCTGGACTACTCATAGTTCAGGCTGTCTGATAGTTCAGAGGATTTGGGAGCTACTAAATTTAGTATACCCAAGAAATAGCCAAACTCTCCCAAAGGCTCATGATTTTGCTAATCAAGGGGCCCTCAAAAGATGTCACAGCATTCACCAGTGAACAAAGGCCCTAACAGGTAAATTAAGGTTCTCAGTCAGGGAATCAGGTCACAGGCAGGTCATCTCTCCTCTCTAGAGCATGTCCACTGGCACAGCTGCAGGACTTCCAAGCAGACACAGTCACAGCTCAGTCTGTTTCATGATCTGGCTGGAGTCAGACCTGGAGAGGTGGCTGCACCACAGGGGTGGATTTCTGCTTTTTGACACAAAGAAAAGGCACGAGGAAGAGGTTCAAAGAGCGATGTCCATGTAGTTGTGGCACAGACCTTCACAGGCAACATTTATGTCAGCCGCCCTGAACATCACCAAACAGGCCCTTGAGTGTTCGAACTAAAAGTCAAGACAGAATCAGTTCAAGTCCGGTCCTCGCTCTCAACTAACTCAGCTCTGAGATCTTCAGCAAGACAGTACCCACGGCCTTCTCTTCTCACCTACAGGTTTGACTAAGATTTTCAGCAGTAACTCGATAGGTCAGGTATGTCCCTCACTAACACTTTATTCCGGCTGAGATTTAAAACTGTCAGTGCTTGGGCCCCACCGAGATTCTAATTTACTTGCTTTGACTGTGGGGTCTGGGTGTTATACAGACTTAACTCCTCAGGTAGTGATACGGGCATCCATGCTGACAAGGTGAGAGGTGGGTGGAGTACCCGGGCCTCTTCACCACATAAGACCACGGTGGGAGCTGGCACTCTTGGGGGGATTCCAAGTTTCTGGTCATTAAATGAAATGTTCAGCAAAGTAAGAACCAAGGATGCCACCATCACTGTTGTCAAGGCCCTAGAGTGGTGAAAAAGGCACCCTTGTTCCCTGTCTCCAGTCCGGCTCACCTACCTCAGTAAGGACTACAGGGGTGCTTTCCAAGGGTGGAGACACCCCACTCATACTCAGTTCCCTGTTACACTCTGCATTTGGGCCAATGAAGGGAGCATCTGTTGGGGTAACAGCTAAGGTGTGTCCTTACCACATTCCAATGAGAGTTCAGGAGATAGGGAGGAGGGTGTGGAGAGGCAGGAAGAAACAGGTCTAACACTGAGCATCAGTGTCAGAGGAAGTTCTGGAAGACAGCACTATCTCCAGAAACTACTCACTCACCGGTTCTAAGGAGGGAGACGAAGAACACTTTGGAAGTACATTTACCCCTGATGGTCAGGACACACTGAGAACTTCCTGTCGAGCCTAGCTGTGAGGGCCCAGAGCATCACCTCCTCAGCGTGGAGACAGGCCTGGATTCAGCTCTAGTCCACCAAGAATCAGCTGTATGTAACGGTCTATGGGGGGCTTTTCATCGGTCCCAAAGCCAGAGCACAGCCTCTGTCAACCTTTCCAAAAACACACGGTAAAGAGACCGCCACCAGGAACACTGTGGGTATTTTCCAAATGACACGATCACAACAGAAGAAAGACCCTCAAGTAGTCATACCTTGCTAATCTATACCACAGTTTTGAGAAAGGGTAATTAATATTTGATTTCACAATGTATTTTGATGTTTATCTTTGGGTCATATCTGATATTTAAAGAACTTAAAAAAAAAAAAAAAAACTATCCCATTCCTCCGTTCTGTCCCGTGCTATGCTTTTTCTTGTTACTTATAATTAAGGGCTGAATTTGACGTTGTAAATTTAATCCAATTGCCTCACCTTACAGATTAAAAAAGAAATGACTTGACCAAGTTCACATAGCTGTTTAACAGCAGGACAAAGCACTTTAGATGGACAGTCCCCCTACCTGATCTGAATGCCCTCATTCTCTGGAGGTCTGACTCAAGTTATTCAGTAAAACAGGCTACCAGGAGATAAGCCCAAACACAGGGAGGAAGTAAACTATTAGGACACTTGTTTGGTCACATGCACACAGCTGTCTCAGGGTGAAGGGGTGGCAAAGAGGGGAACGAGCGCAGCCCTGCCTCCCAGACACACCCCAAGACCGACCCTCAGGAATGGCGCCACGCCGTCACTTCTCACACAGCTGACATTAACAGGTGGGACCACGATGGTGGCACTGGGTATTTGGTTCCTGAAAATTCTGTTGTGCCTGCCAACCTCAGGAATAAATGCCATTTTAACTCGTCTGCCTTCCTCCTTCTGATAGGTACAAAGAAACAAAATGCACGTAACTAGACAGAAAGGTGTCCAGCAGGTGGTGAGTGACGGGAGTGCGGTCATCCTCCACCAAGGACCACGTTTAATTCTGGACGCATAAGGAAACCACGACAAGTGAGCTTGTTTCCTCAACTATAAGATGGGACGTCATCGTAACTTCCTCAGCTGCTCATATGAAGTACTATGGAAGTATAGACTAATACTGCATGGCACAAAGCAAAAAGTGCTTTGCAAGGGAAGGGAGAGCACTAAGTATTAGGAAATTTCTGAATATCATAAAATTTAATTTTTTTACTATATCATGTCAAGGTGTGTTCTGGAGAAACCATTTTTCCAGTATTAAGAAAGATTATATAAAAAGAGGTTCAGTGGACAATTATCAGGAAAACATTAGGTTTAAAAAGTTTTAAGAATCATTTTTAAACCTTAAAATTCCTCAGAGCTTTGAATATTTTGTATACCGTGCCTCTCCAAGGTGGAAGGACAAGAGAGCAGCACTTCCCGACTTCCATGACCACCCAGCCCTCTTCAAATGGACCGAGATCTCAGTGGAGCAGTGTTCCACAGAACAAACCTTAGGAAGAAACACTCTTACTATATATTCTTCCTAGATTCCTGTTATTTGCTTGAATACAAAATTATAACACACTTTTGCTAGAAGAGGAATTTTTTCACATAAAAAAATGTTTATAAAACTTTTATAAGTTGTCTATTCCAGCTCTAAAATAACATGACTCCAAATCTGTAAAGGCCAGATCACTAACGTATCCTCCTTCCAAAGGATCATTATGAATACTTCATCATCAGGACAGAGAACAAACCCTTCAAGTTTTGCTTTGTCTCGGGTACAGACATCTGTCACAACAGACAGAAGCTCTTCCCTTGCTGGTCCAGGAACACAGTTTTCTTGCACTATGGGCTGGCCAGAAGAAAGGGAAGACTTCTGCCACGTGTAATTTTATTGTTTATCTAACACTGAATCCCAAACAAAATTTTGTACCTGATTAATACAAAAGATCTTGAAAATAAGAGGCAGCAACCTGAGATGGAATTGGTATGAGAAAAACAGGGACACCTGAAACTAATATATCATATGTCAATTATTACTCAATAAAAAAAGAAAAAAATGGTAACGTGCTTAAGTGGTAACATCAGCTAAAATATTGACAAGTGGCTGTAGAATTTCATCTAGTGCTGTCTATTTTTAAGGTGTTATATGAATGTTATAAAGGATCTGATAGAAACTGGTGGCAATGCAGCGAGTCCTACACCACTTCTTGAATCTTCTGTCACAGCTGGGGGAATGACAAGGTTTGGCAATACCATGGCATGGACCAAGACTGGTCAGTCTTCTGAGCAGTGGGTAAGAAAAATGGCTACAGATTACATCTAAGAGTTCATTTTACAACTCTTTACTAGAAGACACAAGCTGCAGGCACGCCTGGTGGTTTCTGTGATCCCAGAGCTGCCCCTCTGACCAAACGAGATTAAGATGCTCAAACTTGATCTACGCTACACCAGAGCCGGTCTCTTCTGGGGAGAGAACAGGTGCTTCCTCTGTGGGCTGCGGGAGATGGCCATGTGAGGCAGGGAGGAGAAAGCTCCTTACTAACAGGCTGACAGTGAACAACACGGCACCTGCAAAAACATTTCGACACAGTGCGAAAACATTTTAGAGTGAGACCGCTCATACTTTCTTCCTCCTGTGGCTGTGATATCAAAAAATTCTCAAGTACTTCAACAAATTCCTAGTGCTTGCCATCTTCAGGTAGCTGACACTTTACAGCCCCAGTGTCCTGCAAAAGTGGCCGGAACAGCCCACCTAGACCTTTATCTGATATGTTTATCCCTTCCCCCAACCTCTGGAGGAATAAGGCTACTTACAGGGAAACTCAGAGTCTCCAAAAGGAACAGATTCTAAGTCGCCCTGGTAAATAACGGTGTCGTCTGGCAGCTCTCAGAAACTGGCAAGGGACAGAGCCCGTCACTATCCCCCACTCGCCCACCTTCACACATCTTGCTGACAGACACAGACAGCAACAGCGAGTTTGCACATAAGAACAAGTGAGGCAGAGGCAGAGCAGCGTGGACCTGCTGAGTGCCAGTGGTGGTGCTCTGCCTCCACCGGCACAGGCTCTGAAGGCCCTCTCAGTTCTCCCCAACTCAGCCTGCACGCCGTCAATTTCTGCTGCAGAGACTCAGACGTGACGCAGCTGCTCCAGGAACTCGTTTCACAGCACTGCATGTCAACACTGGGAATGGTTTCTAATCAATTTAAACTGCACACGGTACTTGAACAGAACAAGAAGTTTATTACTCCCACTCAGTAGTTCCGGGGGGCTTTGACGTTAAGTCATACATAATTCGAGAAATACCAGGAATCTTCTTAATCTCAGTGACCATCTTTAACACCACCTGTTATAAAACAAAGATTATAAATAGACGAGTCAGGACCCACTGCATATCCAACAGACCTAGAGGGCTTGCATTTGCAACTTGAAATTAAAATGTGATCTATTTTCACGCCTGTCCTCTATGTACAGGGGATAATCTCTGATGAATTTTATGTAGTGAACCTATTTTCTCCTCTGTAGATTTAAGGGACTTAACTCAGTACTACTCAAAGTGCAGCCTGCAAATAGGTGCCAGTCTGCAAATCGTATTTGTCACTGGTCTACAGCAAGTGTTTAGAACACTTACAGCAATGTGTCACTGCTGTACACCCAAGCATGTGACTTTGTGTGTGTAAGCCAATGCTTCACAAATTATCTGCGGCTGAAAGATACAACTCTGAGGCCACATAACGCACTGTAATAACCAACTGCCAAGTGTACAGGAGAGGGAGGCCTGGTCACTTGACTGAACAGAGATTTGGCAAATTTGAGCCTAAGGGAAAAGAGACTCTAAGCCACATTCCCCATCCCAGCTATCTGGCTAGGACCAGAGCTTTGCATCAGAGCACTGGAACTAGTAGTCTTATTTTGATTTTCATTTGCTATTATGCAAATACTCCTTTGGAACAGTCTGGTGGAGAGTTAACAAGAGAAGGAGATGGTAGGCAGAGCATTAACCAATTCATGGGCGTCTGGTGATAATGCCATCAAATCTCATCTTTATGTCTAATAAACTCTTCTTCACCCCTAAGGTTTTCTTCTTTACTTGGAGAATACTATTTATAAGGTAGAGCCTGGCAAGATTAGACAAAATTATAGATTAGAGCTGGTTACTCTCCACATAATAATCAGACATCTAGAGGGGTACAACAAATTTAATACACTGTAGTAGAAAAAGGCCTTAAGCAATCAATTATGTGGAGATAAAAAAAC